GATGGTATGTAACAAAGTTGTGTGTGTGAGTGTGTGTGAAGTTATTGTATGTTAAGTTTGTGTGTGTGTGAAGTTATAGTATGTGAGAGATGGTATGTGACAAAGTGGTGTGTGTGTGTGAGTGTGTGAATTATTGTATGTTAAGTTTGTGTGTGTGAAGTTAAAGTATGTGAGAGATGGTATGTGACAAAGTTGTGTGTGTGTCTGAGTGCGATGTGAGTGTGTGTGAAGTTATTGTATGTGAAGTTATTGTATGTGAGAGATAGTTGTGTGTGAGTGTGTGTGTGGAGGCGGGCGGCGGGAGGAGGAGGCGGAGGCGGAGCAGACCCGGGATACAGAATCAAAAACAAGAACCCCACACAAAGATGTGAGAAAAATGCATCTTACTGAGTAAGATGTTCAGGTGCAGCAGATTCTGACATTCATCATGTCACTTTTGTTTTCAACATTTGTGCTGCAGGGTGTGAGCAATTTTATTTGTATGTGTGGGTCATTGTGAGGTGATAGAATCAGATAGAAGACCTCGCAAAACTATAGATTCAGTATGATTCAGTATGATTCAGCTAGTTCATCCCTTGGACGATCTCGCAAAAAAAATCATACTGAACTAGTTTGTTTTTGAAGTTTGCTGAAAAGGTATCAAAGAATATCAAAGAAACCATATTGAACTTACTTATTGAACACATTGCATGGCCAACTTCGGTTGCAAAGCCACCGACCTCTCCACGCATGATGTATGTGCGAGTTAGATCAAGTTATGAGAAAGTCTGAAACCCGCTTGCGTTGGATTTTCAGGTGTAGGAAATCTAGATCCTTTGCGAACTTTTACTTTAATCGAAAAGTGTCCATGGGTACTACCCCCCCCACACACACACGCAGAGGCGCGAGGGTAAAGAAGCTAAGTTCAGCATGCCAAAATTTATCAACCATCAACATCAAAATGGACAACTGCAGAGGAAGTTGCAATAGGAAAAGGTGATTGACAGTGGACGGCGTGACGCACAGCCAAACCCCAACATTTTGGCTATAGAGTTATAGAGCAACGCACCTTGAATAGGTTTACACACTGGACAAAAAATGGCACATTTTGCTCGGAAGATCTCAGAAGTGCGAAACGAGTTCTCCGGCTGCTTTGGGCTCCGGATCTGTAAAAAGGGTCTGGTTCAAAGCGTCCTTGCAGCTCTCAGCCGAGGTGGTCAGCACCACAAGCACCACAAACCCAGGCCAGCACCGAGATTCAGCTGGATGCAGCTTTCAATTGAAGGGAAGTCAAAGAGTCTGAGATCACCATGCCCTCTATGGCTTTCACACGGCATCGCCATGTTTTTCATGCAGCATCCAGTGACTAACGCCTTCAACGGAGAGGCTCGTCAACAAAATGCACAAGTCAAACGCTGTTTGTCTCTTGGAGTCAGGTTCAACGAAGCTCTCCTGAGGATGACATTCATAGCCAGCTCCTAGGACTCTAATGCGGTCACAAAATGAGCGAAGAAAGCAGCGATTTTCTCATCGCACAGATCACCAGACTCGTAGTGTTGAAACGCCAAGGGTTGACACGCCAAGGGTCAAGATGGGTCAAGATGGGTCAAGATGGGTCAAGATGGGTCAAGATGGGTCAAGATGGGTCAAGATGGGTCAAGATGGGTCAAGATGGGTCAAGCAATGTTAAGCAAATCTGACGAATCGCCAGAGCTTGGATCAAGTCACAAGATGAAAATGGCCGCTTTCAACAAGAAGTCGGACCAAGAAATATGGCATATATCAGATGCTTGCATTGACTACAACAAGAGCAAGGACTGATTGCCAAAGTCATCCAATTCCAGGATCTCATAGGTCATATGAGTCATATGTGAATTAGAGATGTTTTGCAACAGATCTGCACAGTTTTGACTTCTGTGGAAACGCAGATGCCGCGACTTCTTGCCATTTTCTTGCCAATTTTTGCTGAACAGGCAATGCAGAGTGTACGAAGTCTTGTCATAGCTGGACACACGAGTGAAGTACAAACATGCTGACTTTGCCAGATCATTTTGACTACCATATCCTCAATATTCCTCAAGATTCCTGAACTATGGCCAGATCACATCAGATCACAAAGAATCGGAGCTTCAGTTGCCCCGAAGTCACAAGAGCTTTGAGGCCGCCAAAGCTGCAGCCGAATCTTTGTGGGATGGTGAGAGCAAGGTGCAGCTGAAATGTGAACGTGAAAACAAAGGAGCAAACAGTTGTAAAAAAAATAAAGGCTGCAAATCAATGGCTGTTGTACAAATAAACTCGGAAGAAACATGAAGAATCTGAGCAAAGTGTACTTCTTCCAAATGTCTGGCAGGAATTCTGGGATTTATGCAAGTCATGTACATCCAGCAGACGCGTGGGCCGGCTCAATCTGCTTCCGCACAATTCTGGCGCAGCTTGCAGCTTGTGAAAGCAAGACTGGAGGTATTCTGCTTCACCACCGGAACATGCCTCGATTTGGACATAGCAGCAAGCCAAGATTTGCAAACTTTTTTATTTTCTCTGGCTGTAGTCAACAAGACTTGCCTACGCTGACATACACACTTAATTTATAGATATTTTATAGATAGTACACTGCTTTTTTTGAAATGCACGTGTCTCAACACGGTGATTCCAAAATCAAGATTCGGGTTGTGAGGTTTCGGCTGAATCCTGTATGCAAATGTTCCAGGTGAGAGTTCTATATACAAGTTTTTGAGAGTTCTACAAATGTTAACGTACCGAAGTTACCAAAGTGCTTTTGCTTTTAGAACTTTAACATGTTGGGGTCTCATGCGGATCTTTTTGCTTTTTCTTTTCTTCTCCGGTAGGGGCTTGGTTGCCACGAGGACACGCCTTCAGAAGTGCTGTGGAATGCTTGTACGGACCTGAGATTGGGAAAAGATCGGAAAGCAGAGACGGCATTGCGACTTCACCTTTTTGTGCAATGGGTCCTTGCAAAGATATCAACATCAGCGTAGAATATCCAGACTGATTTGTTTCAGCCTTTCTCAAACCGCTGCAGGCATGAATCCCCTGTTGATTCCAGATTCTTGCCGGACAAAGGGCATTCACCCTCCTGGTACTTCTCGGGAGGAGCTCAGTGATCTTGGAATACTGTTAACAGAGGGCAGGTCAGAGACTAGTGAGCACAAACATCTGCAGTGTATTATAAATCATAATATATTATATATAAAAGTCAAGTACAGTATGAAGATGTTTGCGATATAAAGTGTCAGCATGTGTTCGCTAGGTGGAAGATGTTTGGAGATCCGTGCACGAGATGCTCGAACTTGGGTTATTTGTGATTCTTTCGAGCTTTGTCTGAGTGCAGACAGGAGATGGAAAGATGGGATCGGGACCTCTGACATGAGTCAGGCTGGCGAGCAAAAAAATGTTGTGTGTGGAACAAACCATTCACAGCATGCACATCTCATGCAAAGATTCCAGATCTCCTCGGAAGTTTGCAGAGATAGAATTGCAGAATGGGTCGCAGGATATGAGAGGGAATGTGTTCAAACGCACCTTGTTGAGTCAAGTCAAGTCTGGTACTCGCAAAGAGAGCAGACCTTCTTCGTCACACTTGGCAACCAGCTTAAGGTTCCAATTTCAGCTTGTGTCAGCCGTGTGATGCGACACCTTGGTGTTACTTGAATTGAATCATAATACGTAACAGTTGCATGACAGCAGATCCGTTGGGGATTCCGTGTTGTGAGCAGAAGCAGCTTATCTTCAAAAGGTCTGATTTTGAAATGACTTTAAAGAAATGCAACGATCAAAAAGCAAGCAGCACGTTTGGGGGTTGCTACGAAGCAGAGATTTGGAAACAATTGCTTTATAGTACTTTGTATATCGAAACTGAGCAGCAAACTTTTGAAACCCTGGGGTGCACCAAGTCATGATAATAAATAGGAGGCATCTCTCAGGAAATTTGAGCAATACCTTTCCATGACGTTTCATGCATTTCAGTCTCTGGCAATCAAATGTAGCAACTACAGAGACAAACAGCCTAATTTGACAATTTACGCCAGTTTTGGCCATGGTGAATTGGCTTTGGCAATGGGAGGCCACACTCCCAATTCAGGTCTTGTGCATGTGGCCTTTGGGCCACAAAAACCAACACAAATATATTCACCCCGCTTCGCGTGGGGTGGCCGCCCACACCGCAGGTTTAATTCGGTCCGTGAGAGGGGCTAAGGGTGGTTTTCCCCTGTGGGGGCTCTTCAAGCTAAGAAGTTTCAATAAGAAATCCTTCCAAAACATTGTTTTTGACAGTGTTTTTCCAATGTTTCCAGTCAAACAGACGGTAATTTACACGTTTTTTGCCATAAAGGCAGTAAATCCTTCCAACACATTGCTTTTGACAGTGTTTTTGTAATGTTTCCAGTCAAGCATACGGTAATTTACA